TCAGGCAATCCACTCACCTCGGCCTCCCAAAGGCGCGGGATTACAGGCTGAGCCACCGATCCCAGCATGGTCCACTTTTTTTGGGGGGGAGTCAGAGTCTCACTCTGCCGCCCGGCTGGAGGGCAGTGGCACGCTCACGGCCACCGCAGCCTCGACCTGCTGTGCTCAGGTGATCTTTCCACCTCAGCCTTCCAAGTAGCTGCAACTATAGGCGTGTGCCACCATGTCCGGCTTATTTTTAAAATTTATTTCTTGTAGAGACGAGGTCTCACCAAGTTGCCCAGGCTGATCTCGAACTCCTGAGCTCAAGCAATCCTCTCGCCTCTGCCTCCCAAAGTGCTGGGATTACAGGCTTGAGTCACCATGCGTGGCTATGTTCCATGTTTTAAATCACCAGATAAAATGATCAGCATCTCAGGAAGAGTCTGGTCTCGTAAGTGTCGTCACCCCCTGCGAGGGCACTCCATAGCACTTATCAACACTTGTCACCACGGATGATCATATCTAAGTTCCAGTTAATGGCTGTAACCCTGGATTCCGTAGCCAAAGCCGGCGGTGGCTGCTTTGAGCCTCTCCGGTTCCTGGATACCCCAAGCCACTCGCCACAGGGCCTGTGCACCTGCTGTCTGCATCCCCAGGACAGCCAGGCCTTCTCCCCGTCGGGCTGCTCCTCCGGCCCCCTGCAAGGCATCGCGCACAGCTGCTGTCATTTCAGTGTACTCGTGCCTTCCCTCATGAGGACAGGGCTGGGAGTCCGCCGAGTTCATCATCGTGACCACCCTCCCCCTTTTGCCCCAGCACAGAGCCTGGCACTCAAGGCAGATATAGAGAAGGAACCAATGATTCAATCCAGGGCGTGCTGCAGCCTCGACCTCCCAGGCTCAAACGATCCTCCTGCCTCAGTCTCTCAAGTGTATGGTACTACAGGTGCACGCCACCACGTCCGGCTATTTTTTCTTTTTTTTGTAGAGACGGATCTCGCTGTGGTGCCCAGGCAGGTCTTGAACTCCTGGGCTCCAGCCGTCCTCCAGGCTCGGACTCCCAAAGTGCCGGGATCAGAGGCGTGAGCCGCCGCGCCCGGCCTCAACGTTGTCGACTTCTCGAACGAACGCGAAGGTGTCCTCGGCAGAAGGGCGTCCAATCAGGGCAGGCGCCCAAGAGCCTCTGTCCCTCGCCTGGCCCTGCTCACCGGAACCCGGAGTGAGGAGCCGGGGGCGGAAACGTCTTGAACA